GAGGATTTGAGGTGGAAACTGGTACCTTTGGATGCACCCGTAGAGCAGGTCAGTTAGCAGAGCAGCTGGGCTCACACTGTATAGGAATGCTGTTAAAGGTCTTTCACACTAGCGGCAAAGGGTGACACTGGAGAATGTTAGTCAGGGAGGTGGTGGGTGTACGTTTCTAGATTGCATGCCCAGGCCGCTCTCCTAGCTGCTCTGCACCCCAAGCAGATGGCTTTAAGAAACCCTAATCCAATGACGTGGGCGACCACGTATGGCACTGGGATATTTGTGTTAATTTCTGCAGGTAGGAACTGAGGGATGTGTGCTATGGTGAGGGGCTGTGTGTGCCTGGGCTGACTGTGTGTGCTGGTTGTGTTGTGTGTGTGGTTGTTCTGATTTGTGTCTGTGGGTGGGAGGACGTGGAGTGTGCTGCGAGGAGAGGCTATTTTGTGAGGGGTTATTGTGTGTGGCGGTTGCGGTGTTGTGGGGGGCAGTTTGGAAGAACTGTGGCAGTTGGGCAAAATAATCCACTCTCTGGGCAGTCCCCTCACTCCACTGACCCATTCCAACAACAAGGGTTAACTTATTTCTGATATCACAGTGGTCTGGCGCTGTTGGCGTAGCTAGACACATAGCTTACTGTATTTTCAAAGTGGGAATAATATAGGCTAGTGAACAAGTTACAGGGTAAAGGCTAAACAAGGCTTGAGAGCTGCATAGGGTGGAGACATTTTTTTCTTTCTCTCTGGCCCTGTGTCAGCTAAAGCGTTTCTTTTTCAGAGGTTAGATGCCCAGCTCCACAAATCCAGAATGGAAGAAGAGTATCTGGTGACAGACATGTCTATTGGTATAAAGACAGTGTTACCTTTGAGTGCAATCCCGGCTACACCATGAAGGGTCACAGTCTGAGTCAGTGCCAAATTGATGACACGTGGGATCCACCTTTGCCCGTCTGTGAGCCAGGCAAGTGTCAAAACTCTGATTTGTTCGTATTATGCATTTAGAAACAGGTTTCCCTTTTGTCTGATCTGTGAGCATCTCAAACACTAACCCAGTCTGGATCTGTCCTGCCTGATGCTCACCTCAAATCAAGAGACTTTACAGACTGGTTTGAGGGGAGAAGTGGATGGTCCCAATTGTTAGGAACAGATCTAGAGGATAAGAAATGAACCAGATTTGGGGGCAGTGCTGGCAGTGCTCTGAGAGCAGTGGGGATGCCAGGTGAGTAATTTTGTCCCTTCTGTTTGCTGCAATTCTTGTGCTTTCCCACAACACATTTGGGAGTTATGATTCCTCAAACTGCACCAGTTGCAAGAAGTGACCCAAGTTCACACGAGCCATGGGTCTGCCTGAGGGGAATTTCTGTAACTTTTATTTTCCTCTGCTCATGATGCTCATGTCTGTCTCATCTTGAAATGGGAACTGGAAGTGATTTAGAAGATGATATTCAATAATTTCTTGGTCCACCACAGCTTTTGCAGGTACTTCTGCTTCCTCTGCTGAATTTCACTATTATCTCGAAATTTTTATCAATTTTGAGCAGTCCTTCCAGTAATTAGACATGCTGTTCACTCTTCCTTTGGATGTGGAATATAACCCTCTAGTTCCTGTATGTGGAATAATCATGAACTTACTTTTGTTTTTCCCCCTGGTCTTGCAGTCAAGCTCTTTTCTATAATGGGGTGGGGACGAGATTGTTACAAATCAGTAAAAGATTCAGAAAAGCAATAAGCCGTTAAGACTTGCAATGTCACACACTAAATAGCAAGCCTAAATTGTCCAGTGATTTTTGGTTGCTCAACTTGAGTTCTTAAAGGAGCCTGATATTTTTTTCTGGGTGATGAGTGTCTGTAAATTACCGTTGTCATCCTGACTACTCCCTTCTTGGGGAGGCATCACCTTCATTGTACAGCGTCTGGAGCTTGGAGCAACCCCCCCCCCCTCAATGTGAAGGTGTGTTTCTGTTCTGTTTGCTGCTTCCCTTTGCCTCACTTGCTGCGTCAGACACACAAAAGGATTTAAATTGAGACCACAGGAACTTTGAGACAAGCCACCAATTCAGCAAATTCCGCAGCTGGGGACTAAACTTCTAGCAAGACACAGGGACCAAAGTCACTGCTGGCAAGAGAAGCTCCTTTAACTTCAGTGGCTTTGCATCCACTCGTACCATGAATTATGATTCTGTGAGTGCAGCTGGGTAATGTTCATAGTGAAAGAATTGACACAGGTGACAAGAGGACGTCAGAGTGTAGAAATAGTTATGAAATTGAAGTACAGTAAAACTTATCAAAGGAAATGGCTGAGTCCATTCCATCCCATATGTGCGTTAGAGTCTAAAGGGTTTGTTATGCTTTCCCTTTCAGTGACGTGCATGAGCCCAGAAGTGGAGAATGGCAGAACAAATGATCTGGGAGGGCTGAGCATGGAGGCCAAAAGGACTGTGGGATTAGTTTGAGATCTGAAAAGGGAAATGCAAATATCTGTGTAGCTATCCCAGTGTTTCCCATGCTCCTCTCCATAGTAAATGGGCTTTTCCACTCTCCAAAAAGATCCCTGAAGAATTGAGTCCTGGTCAGATTTTCCCACTTAAGCCCCCTCCCAAGTTAAGGGAAGCTAGAGAAGGCCCCAACCAAGCAACCAAGAAATGGTCCAAAAGTGGCAGCATTTCTATTGTAAACACAAAATATACAGTGGAAATAGCTGTTGGAGCGTTACTAAGATGGCTGGGAACATGTCTGTGAGTGTCAAGAAGCATGACTCAGTCATAGCGCTATATAGGTATTTGGGAGGATGTGAATGAGGTGGAAGGAATGGAGGTCGATAACTTTACCCCTGGTGTGCGTTAGCCTCACTGCTGTTGTGTTGGGCACAACTCAAAATGAGCATGTGGATATTTTCCTGCCTATAAATTAGCCTGTATGAGCTCTGGTTCAGTGAAGACTCTCTTCCCTCCCTATAGTGCTGCAGTGTCCCTCTCCTCCAGCCATTGCCAACGGGAAGCCCAGTGGCTGGGACTTGGCAGTGTTCACCACTGGAATGTCTGTAAATTACAGCTGTGAGACCGGCTACTCCCTAACTGGGCAGGCATCTATTTATTGTACGGTATCCGGAACTTGGAGCCCTCTCCCCCCTCAGTGTGAAGGTGCGTTTATGTTCTGTTACCTGGAACTAAGAGGAAGAAGTTCCTACCACAGGTTTTAACTTGAAAAACAAGCTCACCAGTGCAACAGAATGAATGGCAGGGAATTAATCTCCATTTAATTAGACACATGGGGAAATAAATGCTTTTGAAAATAAAGGCACTGAATCCACACTGCACATATATACACCCACAAGAAAAATATTTTAAAAGCGTCAGTCTGAAACCCTACGCACACTGGACATGAATTACAAACACTAGAAACTAATATCCATGCTCCCCTCACACACACAGACAGACACACAAACCTCTGCCTCCAATCTCTACCCTTGCTACACGCTGAGCGAACAGGAAAGATTTGCAGTGTGTGTCCTAAAGGCAAACAGGCCTGTACTGTTTAACGCCAAGTGCAAGGAGTAGGCGCCAAATTGAGGGTCCCTCACAGGGAGCTCTCCCGCCAGCCCTGCTCTCTCTGTCACTGAGAAGGATCCATCTGGGGCCTCTCTTCACCACAAGAGGAGCAGTATGGTACCCGTGAGATGTGGTTTTAGGCAGGCTACCACTAAAGTGTTTGCATTTTAGAGGTTAAAAGCAACACCATAAACACTCCCCAGAAACCGGTAGGGAGCCAGTGCAGAGCACAGGTACCAAGCGCCCACTGAACAGCACTGCTTGCCGGGCAAGCTGATGCCTTCTGCACCTTTTCAATTTCAGAGGTTCTCTGCATCGCCCCAGAAATCCAACATGGAAGAAAAGTAGCTGGACGTGGACCTGTCTATAGACCCAGGGACATAGTTAGGTTTGAATGTGATCCTGGCTACACCCTGAATGGCAGCCATCAGATTCAGTGCCAAGATGATAGAACGTGGGCTCCTCCAGTTCCAGTCTGCATACAGGGTAAGTGGGAATCAGAGTTGACTGGAGGGTAACTGAGATGATCAACATCTGGTAGGGTTGTGCCTGGAGGCTAAAAAAGAAACTTCCTTTGAATCCTGGGGTCACTTTTCAGCTGTGAATGGGGAACATACAAATATCCACCAACCCCCTAATCCAAGGGTAGGCAACCTATGGCACGCGTGCCGAAGGCGGCACGTGAGTTGCTTTTCAATGGCAGTCACACTGCCTGGGTCCTGGCCACCAGTCCGGGGGGGCTCTGCATTTTAATTTTAAATGAAGCTTCCTAAACATTTTAAAGCCTTATTTACTTTACATACAATAGTTTAGTTATATATTCTACACTTATACATTGTAACATTTTTAGAAGGTCTCTTTCTATGACTGGCACGTGAAAACTTAAATTAGAATGAATAAATGAAGACTCGGCACACCACTTCCTAAAGATTGCCGACCCCTACCCTAATCTCTTGACTGTGCTCGTCACTGTGATAGCTGATCGCCTGCATCCTGCCCTACTCTCCTGACAGCCAGAGATCTGGCAATGCTCTGTCTCACTGAGCGTCCTAAACGTGTGAATGGAAACACAAATCAACAAAACTCATCCCCCTCTCAACAAATTCTATTTTGGATTCTTAAGGCAGTCAAGGGAGATCTCAGGGGACAGAAAAGTAGCAGATTGGGAAAATCTGAGTTTGTGGGTGAAGGGGGATCTAGGTAACTGATATTTAATCTTTTTTGGATGTATTGCATCACTGGTGCAATGGAGGGTTTGGCATAACTCGTGCATCCTGGGCTTCCCTCCCCCTCCAGACCAGCCTATTTTAAGCGCTTCTTGAACAGGATTCAGTTTTTCACTGAAATATTCTTCTTCCCCTCTCCCCCATTAGCGTTGCCGTGTCCCCCACCTCCGGTCATTGTCAAAGGGAAGCACAATGCCAAGCCATTGGCAGCTTTCCCCAGTGGGACATACGTGAACTACAGCTGTGAACCCGGCTACGCCCTCCGGGGAGAGGCTTCAATCTATTGTACCACATCTGGAACTTGGAGCCACCCTTCTCCTCTATGTGAAGGTGAATGCATTTTCGGTTGGCTTCTTCCCTTTGGCTGTAGGTGTGTCAGTCACTCAACAGGTTTTAAAGCAAGAGAAAGAATGTTCAGACATACTAGCTAATGTAACAAAATTCACAGCTGGGAATAGATCCCCTAGGGGGACACACAGGGCTATAATCACTGCTGGCACAAGAAGCTCAGTTGACTTCAGTGGAACTTGCACACTGATGCCGGTGGAGAGCACGGCTCCCTGAGCGCTCCCAGACAAGGTTGCTGTTGAAAGCATTTATAAAAATGTCAGCAGGAAGATGGAATCGTGTAGAAATACTAATGAAAATGAAGTTAAAGGTATTTGGGGGAATGTAAATGCGATGGAGGGGAAGGTAGGTAGGAAACTTTACCCTGATGTGTGTTTGCCTCACTGCTGTAAGGCACGACAGAAAACGAGTATGTGGATCTCATATTCAATCTGTGATCCACTATAACCCCTGAATTCTTTTCAGCAGTACTACCACTTAGGTCTTGGCTACACTGGCGCTGTACAGCGCTGCAACTTGCTGCGCTCAGGGGTGTGAAAATGATCCCCCCCACCCCCCGAGCGCAGCGAGTGCAGCGCTGTAAAGCGCCAGTGTAGTCAGTGCCTGCAGTGCTGCACGCTCGCTCACAGCGCTGCAAGCTACTCCCCTCGGAGAGGTAGAGTACTTACAGCGCTGCGAGAGCTGTCGTGGCAGCGCTGTGAATTGCCAAGTGTAGCCAAGGCCTTAGCTAGTTACTCCACGTTTTGTAGTTGTGTATTTATACCTTGGTACAGTAATAGGATTACATGTTTGTTCTTGTCACTTTTATAAGTGAATATAACTACACCCAGAGCCGTCCCTTGGGTACGGTGAATTGGGGCGACCGCTCCGGGCCCTGCAGGCTGGTGCGATTGGCCCAGTATGGTCAGTCCCACCCCCCTAGGGATGGCCCTGACTACACCTAAAAAACCTGCAATCTCATCTTCTGCAACTTACTTTCCTCCA